TACTTTTAAAAATAATTGAAATTTTGCAATGGATTTTATTAAAATTTTCAAAAATAATTGAATTCGTGTGATAAATATTGTTAATTATAAAAATAGTTGAAATTTTTTAATGAATTTAATTAAAATTTTTGAAAATAATTGAATTTTGTCGAAGAATTTTGCTATTTATTTATAAAGATAATTGAAATGTTGACAATGTTTTTTAGATTTTTTGAAAATAATTGAATTTCGGAGAAGAATTTTAATATTTCCAAAAATAATTGAAATTTTGACGAGAACTATTAAAAATTTTTGAACATAATTGATTTTCTGCGAAGAATTTTTTTTACTTTTGAAATTAATTGAAATTTTGCTATGGATTTTATTAAAATTTTTGAAAATAATTGAATTCGTTTGATAAATATTGTTAATTATGAAATTATTTTATAATTTACTGGTAATTAAATTACCAGTACCGTTTTGTTGTTAAGAACTTAATTTTTTATTTAAAATATATAATTTAAACAAATGTGTTAATATATTTTTACATTAATTTTTTAAATCAGGTTTTAATTATATTCTTATTTATAGCTGTGCCGAATAATACCATTAAAAATGTTCTTCAAAAACAAAATAATAAAGAAAAAGAAAATTTTTTGGTTGACGTTAAAAACGCAGAAATAAAATTGTTTTCATTGTTGCACATTTGTTTTAAAAAAATTGATAAAATAATAATTATTTTTATTTTGTTTCTTTAACGTTTTTCTCTTCGAATTGCAACAACCAATCAAGGGTTTATCCTTGATTGTTTAAAATGCGAGATTCGTTTTTCCCTGTTTAATTTACTAAAAATTTAGAATTTAGAAAAGAGTAACTAAAAATGGTTGCGGGATGGGTTGTTTTTAATTAATAAGCATTTATTTCCCTTATAAGTTTTAAATTTATTTTCCCTTTTCTTTTCAAAATTTAAGCCTAAACATTACAATAATTATATTTTCGCTTACCGCTAAACTTTTCCTACCACCTCTACTTCTTAGAGATGGGCCTTGTTTAATTGTTTAGTGTTGATCACCTCGATTGTAATTTTCAATAATTCTTCGCTTGATCCATTGAGATGTCGATTATTTCAAACATAATTCTTACGCCCGTGATTTTACTCGCGTTAATTCTACGTTTGTGTTGATTCTTTTTCACCACTATTGATTAACCGAGTTGTTAAAACTTGCCTTAATTAGTGTAGGAAACTAATTAAGGGACAGTTAAGAACGCGCCTTCTTATTATGAATGACCGATTAATACTGCCCTGAATGAACTGTGATGTCAATTTTTATACCAGAAACTATATTTCTGTTGGAGGGAAAATCTGCAAATATGACATTCCTCAGGGATTGTTGTCCCGTGTTGAAATAATTTATTATTTCTATATTTCGAAGGAGTACTCCTTTGGATCGCTTTTGCTGACTTTGCTTTCTTTTGAATTAAGCAAGTCGATAGTATATTAATCCATGATTGCCAAAGACAAACAAAATTACTTGTAATAATTGTTGCTTCATTATTTGGCAATCATTATTAATCTTTTCATATTTTTGATCCTAGGGTTAACAACCTTGCAGCAATAAGTTATTCTGATTCTGATTCTGACTTATTCTGATTTTAAGGAGGAATGTCATTACAAAGAATGATGGTTGGTGTAACAATTGACATACGAGCTCATTCCAGAAAATGATTAAGTTGATTTGTTTGCATATTTCTTATAATAGAGATTCTCTTTTTTTAAATTTATTTATAATTAATGGATTATTGATTCGTTACATTCATACATAGCTGAACACAATTTGTCACTGCGAGCAGCAGATCATCTCGCAGATGTCTCCAAATCAGCCTTTCCAGACTCTTCTATTGCAAAAAATGTGACACTGGGTAGGACGAAAGCCACAGGGATTATACAAAATGTGATTGGCAAATGCCACACAGAGGAATTAGCTTTTACTTTAAAAAATTTCAAATTTAGTATAATAGCTATTGAATCTACTGATATTGGTGCAACAAACAACTTATGCTGCTGTGTTCGATTTTTTGACGAAAAAGAAGAAAAAGTCGTTTCTCGATTCTGGAAATTAATTAGCTTATTTTCGGGTGATGATCCGGCATCAGCTCAAGAAGGAGCAACTGCTGCATGTATTTATAACAAAATAGTGGAAAGTTTGAAAAAAGACAATGTTCCTCTCGATACTTTGATCGGATTCGCTAGTGATACGTGCAATGTAATGTTTGGCGAGCATAATGGGGTGGCCACAAGATTGTCGAGACTTCTACCTGGTCCCACAACATTGAAATGCATTTGCCATTCACTTGCAACTTGTGCTAGTGAAGGTTGCAAGTATTTACCTCGAACATGTGAAGATTTGGCTCGCAACATTTTTACCTTTTTTAAATATATCTCTAAAAGAAAAGCACAATTTCAGGAGTTTCAGAATTTTTGTGATGTCGAACCTCACAAAATTTTGAACCATTCGATAACTCGCTGGTTGTTTCACTTTCAGGTATCTGAATAGAACGTATATTTTTCGTTTATAATAATAAATATTAGAATGCTTCATTTTTATTTTCAAAATTTATATTTTATTTAAGATACTGTTTATAATTTTATTCTACTTTATTTTAATTAATTAAATATTAATAATAATTATTAGGTACAGTTATTATCAATATATATGTGAGAAGAAATCATTCTTTCCGAGTCAAATAAAAAGAGAAAATTCTTTTTAACGTTTCGACGATAACAATCGTCCTCATCAGAAACTATAATTTATTTAGAAAAAATTATTTGTTAATACATTTTAATATATAATCAAAAAACATTAAACAATTAATAATAATATAAATAATTAATTTCGTACCGATCAGAATCGTGTTTGAATGCACGTGTGGACGGACGAATGTCACGTCGTCAACTAACTCATTTAATCGACGAAAACAGAGGCATCGCAATACATTCAAAAGACACAATACAATTTAAGATGCGAATGAATACATTTAAAAGCAGATTTAGGACCTTGAGATAGGAGAGAAGTAAATGACCGAGAAAAGTAAACTATTGGATGTGATGAAAGTGTTATTGAGATTTTAGAAATTGAGAATATTTGTCATTCAACTTATTTATATCTTCTTTAGTGTTTATTGGATTGGTTTGCAAATTTATGTGTATCATCTCCGATATCAATCTCCTTCCTCTTATTTTTTCTCTATCTAGTATAGAGAATTCGTCAAAATCGAAAACATGACCTTGCTCGGCACTGTGTAATGCAAGTGCGTTATCTCTAGAGAAAATAAAACAATCATTGACTACATAAAGTCCATTGAACACTTTTTTACTTTAAACAATGTTAATGAAAATTTGGCAAACAATATCCGGTCACAGTTCATCGATGACGCTAAATTATTTACAAAAAGCAAAACAAAACATATTTCATTTAATGATAGATTATTTGCCAAAAAAATTGCTGATACTAATTCCTTTCTAAAACGAAACACTAATATCTTGTTTACTTTAGCTGACAAAGGCAACGTCACAGTTGCACTAGATAAAAAAGATTATTATACTAAAGTGGAGAATATGTTGTCTGACACAAACACTTATAAACGTATAAATGTAAATCCCTTATCTTCCTTACAAAAAAACTGTTATAAATTTCTGAAAGGGTGGAACATTAATAATTATTTAAATCGGATATACGTTGACAGGGAACTTACCCAAACTGACACTTCGCTTCCAAAATTTTATGGTTTGCCAAAAATTCACAAGGATAATTTTCCACTGAGACCAATTATATCAAATGTAGGATCTCCAACAGAATTTTTGGCAAAACATCTTTATAATGTATTATCCGAAGCTATTGAAAAGCCGAAGTCACATATTCGAAATAGTTACGAATTTGTTAAGAAAATTAATGACATAGAAATACCAGACGAATATATATTTGTAAGTTTCGATGTTACTTCTTTGTTTACGAATGTCGGCCTTGAACATGTTACACGCATTATAGAACAAAAATATGCAATTATCTCTAGAACTTGTAATATTCCGTTGGACGAAATTATCGACGCATGTAGTTTTTTAATGGAAAACACTTATTTTAAATTCAATGATAAATTCTATAAGCAAACGTATGGTTCTCCGATGGGGTCACCAGTTTCGGGACTGTTTGCTGATTTGGTTATGTCTGACCTTGAAGTAACATGCCTCGATAAATTGTCTTTTAACCCACTTTTTTACTATCGTTATGTGGATGATATTATTACTTGTATACCACAGAGGAAAATCTCAGAGATGTTAGATATTTTTAACTCGTATGACAATAGACTGCAGTTCACTTTCGAAATGGAAAAAAACAATTCTATTAATTTTTTAGATGTTTTAATCATTAACAAAAATAACAAAATAATAACTGACTGGTATCAAAAACCAACTTTTTCTAGAAGAATATTAAATTTCAACTCTCAACATCCCTACTCTCAGAAGATTGCACTAATATACAACCTTACTGATAGAGCAATAAAACTTTCAAACAAATGTTTTCATGGGATAAATATAAAATTTATTAAAAACTTACTTATTGATAACTGTTACCCCAACCTTCTTATAGACAAACATATTAAAAAACGCATTTGCAAAATAAATTCAAATATTACTGTTAGCAAAAATAAGAATGATTATTATAAATTAATACCAAAAATATGTTTACCATACATAAAAGGCTTTTATGAAAGAACAAAGTCTAACCTAAGAAGATATAACATCCATTCTCTTCCCCTAGGTATTTATAATAACAATTTTATTAAGAAAGGTAAAGATAAAACAAACAAAAATGAAATTGTGAACTCTGTCTATAAAATTAATTGTAAAAACTGCTCCGTCTCATATGTAGGTGAATCAAAACGTATGATAAAAAAACGTGTCTACGAACATAAAAACTCTAGAGATAACGCACTTGCATTACACAGTGCCGAGCAAGGTCATGTTTTCGATTTTGACGAATTCTCTATACTAGATAGAGAAAAAATAAGAGGAAGGAGATTGATATCGGAGATGATACACATAAATTTGCAAACCAATCCAATAAACACTAAAGAAGATATAAATAAGTTGAATGACAAATATTCTCAATTTCTAAAATCTCAATAACACTTTCATCACATCCAATAGTTTACTTTTCTCGGTCATTTACTTCTCTCCTATCTCAAGGTCCTAAATCTGCTTTTAAATGTATTCATTCGCATCTTAAATTGTATTGTGTCTTTTGAATGTATTGCGATGCCTCTGTTTTCGTCGATTAAATGAGTTAGTTGACGACGTGACATTCGTCCGTCCACACGTGCATTCAAACACGATTCTGATCGGTACGAAATTAATTATTTATATTATTATTAATTGTTTAATGTTTTTTGATTATATATTAAAATGTATTAACAAATAATTTTTTCTAAATAAATTATAGTTTCTGATGAGGACGATTGTTATCGTCGAAACGTTAAAAAGAATTTTCTCTTTTTATTTGACTCGGAAAGAATGATTTCTTCTCACATATATAAATTTCGACCGAGTGATAAATTCTACTTCATATATTATTAATATAATTATAATAATAATTATTAATTAATTTTAATTAATATAATGTTATAAAAATTATAATTTATATTATGAAAATATTTAAAATATAGGGGAGAGGGCCCCAAGGTGGTCAGGGCCCTAAGGTGGTCACCCTAAGAAAATTTTTGTATATTAGTTAGTATCTTCAAATGTTTTTTGTTATTGTTATTATTTGAGAAGACAAAGATTTTAGTAAAGTTTTGAGGTAAATAGTCGTATGAGTCTCTTTGTAATGTGAACGTCGTAAAATTTCTGTTTTTAAATGATCGAGAAATTTTTTTCTCAGGGTGTTAAAATCATCGAAATTAACCATTTTAAATTAGTAAAAATCGTTATAATTATCTTTATACAGTAAGAAAAGCTATCCGTCAGTCATAGGAAAGTATGGGAATCGCATAAGTCTGTCTCACTCACACTCATGGGATATGACTGACGTGGTAGGTTTTCGTACTGTATATCGTACAATAATATTCCAAATGAATATAATTAATATTGTGCTTTAAAAAATTTTTTCATTAACGTTTAAAAAATTCTTTCTTGGCCCTAAGGTGGACACTTTTTTGGCCACTTTTGATTTTTTATGAAAATATGTTTATACGCCATATTTATCAACATTTATCACTGTGAATGTGAATTTTATCAATTTTTAAGTTTTATGATGAATAATAATAAAATAGAATTATTTTCAAAATTTTACCTATCTAATACATACACAAAAAGTATCATTTTTGACGAAAGGACAAAGTGCAAAAAAAATATGTAATATGTTTCTGTGATCCTGAAAAACAATTAATATTAAATAAACAACTTAGTAATACGTTTTTTACATTTTTTTAAAACTTTTTTAGTGAATTTTTGTATGGTGACCACCTTGGGGCCACTTTTTTAAAAGTCGAATTTTCAACTTTTTTTAAAAAGTGCCATAACTTTTTTTTTATTAATGAAATAAAAAAAAGTTTATGATAGGAAGTTAGGTAATAAGATAAAGTTTCATACGCCGTATTATTGACCTTTATATATAATTCCATTTGAAATCTACAGTCGTTCAAAAGATGGGTGACCACCTTAGGGCCCTCTCCCCTATTTAAAATTTTTAATTTATTTAATATAATAATGATTGTGAAAAATAAAATCAAATTTACAGGTGGTTTAGCGAATTTTGGAGCAGTGGGAACCACTTCGCTTGTATTTTACCTCAAAGTGGTTCGATGAACGTCTTGTAATGGCTGAATCTATATATCAATCGCTTAATGATCCGATTGCAAAACTGTTTTACTACTTTCTAGAATGGATTTTAAGAAAAATAGTCGGAACCAACGAATTCTTTCAAAGCGACAAAGTAGTTATTACTTCATTGGATACGAAAATGAGACTTTTGTTTAAGGAATTGCTCGAAGGTTATATAGACCGTCAAAAATTGAACTCTACAAAATTGGAGATGATCGATCCAAAAAATGAAAGTCTCTTCATGTCCTTAGAAAATGTATATTTCGGTGTCAGAGTAATGACTGGTCTACAAGATCCCAAGCTTGCTACGATGCGGAACGCAGTGACTGATTTTAAATTTAGGTGCCGTCAAATGTTAATAACAATGTGCATTTAGATCAAACAACGTTACGATTTCGCTGAAAATAATTTGCTGTCGAGCATTAGTTGCTTTGATCCAAAAATTGCAATGTCTTTAAATGCAGAAAGGCCTCAAAGCATCCATCAGATCATTGCACAACTTCCGCGCATCGTTTCATCGGAAAATTTAAACACAATTCAACTTATAGACGACCAATGGAGGAAGATGCCAAACGAAGCAGCGTTTCGAGATTTTGTATCAGAGACTCCAGATTCATTCCGGTTCAGGGTAAGAGGATCCGAAAATTTACTTAGGGAACAAGAATATAAAGAATTAGGGCAATTTGTCCTAGATGTTTTTGTCTTGCCACATTCAAATGTGTCATGTGAGCGAACTTTTTCAAAGGTGAATATGGTGAAAACAAAGTCGAGAAATAAAATGATCACCAGTACTTTACAAGGATTAATCGCTGCTTCGGAATGCATCAGTCAAGTAGGATGCATGAATTTTAAGCCTTCGGAAAAAATGCTACAATGCATGACTGCAAATACAATTTATGGTCCTAAAGCCTCCAAATGTAACAAAACGCGTGTTTGTGAGAATACGGAAAAGACTGCAGCTTCTGTTGAAATCGAAGATATGGAGTATGATATAACCTTTGAAACAGAATGAGACATGAGACTGAAATGAGTCGAATGTGATTTACAAAATAACAAAAAGTATTAATTAAAATTCAAATTTTTATAGTAAAATAAAAAAATATTTATAACAATTATCTCAATAAAAGTATGTAAAATTAGTAAAATCGCATGTTTCAATTCACTGTCATTGTGAATACACCTTTACTCATTTTTTCTCTCTCAGTTGCTCTCACTTTTTCTTTGAACCAACTCTTACGCAGGCGTACCATAATGTTAGGGATAATTCCATAATTTTGATTCGTTAGTTCCATAATTTTCCCTGTAGGATCTGGCAACGCTGATTAACCTTCTTATTTTACAAAATTTCTCGTGTTTATTTAATAAAATTAATTAAATACGACGAAAAAATAGTTTATAGTGCACTAAAAAAACAACGAATAAACGGTTTAAACGAAAAATGGTACCTGTGGTAAAACTTAAAGAGGACTTTTAGAAAAGGTACGAAAAATTGGCAGTGTAAATCGAAAATTATTATAATATTTTAAAAATAAGATTATTTGTCATTTAAATAAAGGAAAATTATAAAAATACTAAAATTAATAACATATTTTGCTAAAATCGCGGGGTGGCTTTTTCACCCCACCAGGTGTTACAAAAAAGCCACTTGCAAGTGCTGTCGTTAAACTCTTATAACTTATTCCTTTCATGAGATAAAAACTTTCAATACTAATTGGAAATTTGAGAAAAAAAATTAAATAGATTTTATAGTATCAAATGTAAAAATGTGTCTTTTTTACCCCACTCTACCCTACTACTTAACTATAATATATGATATTTAGTCAATATCATAATCAGTTCTTTTTGTTATCTAGAAGGCAGTGTTTGTTTCAATATTAATACTACAAAATAAACTATTGTTCCTAAATCAAAAAATTAAAATTAAATTTTTTTAATATTTTTAATTTTATTCCCCTTTTGCTATAGGATTATTTAACTTCAAAGGTGAATTTGTATCTGCATTTAAAATATCTTAATTTTTTTGTTCTTCATTGATTTTTGTTTTGTCTTTTAAAGACAAACTTATTCTTGTTTTATTCAAAAATCTTATTCTCTTTTCCACATTTTTTTTCTGTATGTCCTTCACACTTGCTGAAATTTTCAATTAATTAATCGATTAAAGAATTCAATAATTACTAATCATTTTAATAGCATTGTATTGAATTATTTTAAAAATTTAAAAGTGATTTTAGAACACGTAGTAATACACACAATCACCCTAATATACTTCGAGTTTAAGATTTTTACCAGAAATTGTATGGCTTGAAAATTGCTTAATTCAACTATTTCAAGAATTTGTGATATTTCATGATTCTAAATATCTAAAATTTATTTTAAAAATATCAATTTAACAATACTTTTTCAGATATTTTTATGGCTACATCGGGCGTTCCCCAGGGATCGAATTTGGGACCATTATTATTTTTGCTGTTTATTAATAATAAGAAAACTTTTTTTAAATTAAGTTTGTTTTTGTTGTTTGCTGATACCTCAAAGTTTTTAAATCTATCTCTAGTGACAGTGATATTCTTGCATTACAGCATGATCTTAAAAAATTTCGACGTTGGACAAAAAAAATAATATCTTTCTAAATATTAAAAAATGTAGTGTAATTTTATTCACTAGATCTAGAGAAGTAAGTAGTTTTAAATATTCGATTGGTGCTGCAGTTCTCAATAGTGTAACTATAATTCGAGACCTTGGGATTTTGCTTGATGTATTTTTTTCCTTCTCTGAACATATTTCTTTTACTATTAATAAAGCAACTAGAGTCTTGGGCTTCGTCATGAGAAATGCTAAACATTTTCGAAATTTAATTGCACTATGATCTTCATATTGTTCGCTTGTCAGATCACAGATTGAGTTTCTTTCTGTATTGTGGCATCCTTATGTTTGCAGATTTCATTTATTTTTTTAAGATAATAAATGGATTAAGAAAAAAGAAAGTAAGAAAAAGTATGCAGGGAAGTTTTGAGTTCAGCAAAGTTGCAGTGAGAAAGTTGTTCCTTACTATTTAAGGAAGTTTTTTGGAAAATTTCAAATAAATTCGTTAAAAAACAAAAAAGTTATATAATTGTTAAAGAAGTGCGCGCTGCGCGTAGACTTCAACGTTACCTGTAAAGACGTGAAAATTGTCTCTTTTCAGAATTCTATAAATAACATTTTATGCAGTTAATTCATATCAATGCTTTTTTTATTTTAATAATAATAATTTTATTTATTTACAAACATTAGAACATTAAAAAAATTTTTTTTGTTTAACTGTATTTATATTTTTCAGCAATTTTTATTTTTACAGTTTCTTCATTTCACACAATATTTAATACTAATAAAACTTGTACTCTTTTAAAATATACATTACACAGGACTACAAAAAAAATTCATTGAAAGGTTCCTTTGACCAAACCTGGTGTATTATAAGTTTTTCGGGTCGCTAAAAACGAATCTGAAGTCCGTTTTGCTCCATCACGTCAGGATTTTTCCTAACCTCAAAGTACATATCAGAGAACGATGCTGAAAAATGGTCAAAATTTGCCCCCTAAGGGGATTGTAAAAGAAGTATATGTTTTTATAGATTTTAACCTGCTGAATCCGAAAATCAACCTAAGAAAGTTCTAAGCCTTGGGGAAAGGGTTGAAAAACCACCCTAAACTCAAAGACACAATTTTCAATGAAAAATAGTAAAATATGATAAAATTATTAAATAAGAAATGTTTACACTATAATTTAATAAACTAAGGTAACAGTAATAATAACCGCATAATTTAAATCACGATTACGACCCTTGCAGTTTAAAAAACTACCCCCTCATACATCAACACTTATGCCAAACCCCCAAAAAGGTATAAAACGTCAATATATTGATACATAACATAAACCACCCCTAAACAACCAAAACCGAAAAAAACTTAAAATGTTATGGATTAAGTTTCTAATGTTTTTGTTAAAGAGTTATCCCTACCAATAACAAATAAGCAACTAGTGTTACATCTACCATTAACTCAACAACCCTTAATCATGATCAGAAACTACCCCTATATAATCCTTAAAAAATAACCTCCGAAGTTACAAATTAAAAACCAAATTATTTTGCTATTTATGACACTTTAAATATATATTTGATATGATGATAATCAATTTATTGCAATTAATAAAGAAAACACATAAAATATTCAAACCTTGAAGGTACAGTCTTTGGTGGTCCAATCAATAAAGATCAGGGCTATTGGATCCAACCATTAAAGGTAAGAAACATTGTGGACCACTCAATGAAGATCAATGTTATCAGGTCCAACCACTGGAGGTGAGGAACATTGTCCAATCAATGAAGATTAGGGTTATCAGATCAAACCACTAAAGGTAAGATACATTGTTTTCCAATCAATGAAGATCAGGGTCATGGGATCCAACCACTGAAGGTAAAAAACATTGTTGACCACTCAATGAAGATCAATGTTATCAGGTTCAACCACTGGAGGTGAGAAACATTGTTAAATCAATGAAGATCAGGGTTATCAGATCAAACCACTAAAGGTAAGATACATTGTTTTCCAATCAATGAAGATCAGGGTCATGGGATTCAATCACTAAAAGTAAAAAACATTGTTGACCAATCAATGAAGATCAGGGTTATCAGGTCCAACCACTGAAGGTAAGAAATATTGTTGACCACTCAATGATGATCAGTGTTAACAGGACCAACCACTGAAGGTAACAAACATTGTTGACCAATCAATAAAGATTAGAGTTATCAGGTCCAACCACTGAAGGTAAGAAACATTGTTGACCACTCAATGAAGATCAGTGTTATCAGGTCCAACCACTGGAGGTGAGAAACATTGTTGTCCAATCAATCAGAGGTTGGACCTGATAACCCTGATCTTCATTAATTAGTTAACAATTTTTTTTACCTTCAGTTGTTGGATCCCATAACCCTGATCTTCATTGATTGGACAACAATGTTTCTTATCTTCAGTGGTTGGACCTGATAACACTGATCTTCATTGAGTGGTCAACAATGTTTGTTACCTTCAGTGGTTGGACCTGATAACTCTGATCTTTATTGATTGGACAACAATGTATCTTACCTTCAGTGGTTAGACCTGATAACCCTTATATTTATTGATTGGACTACAATGTTTCTTACCTTCAGTGGTTTTATCTGATAAACTCTGATCTTTATTAATTAAACCACCAAAGACTGTACCTTCAAGGTTTGAATATTTTATGTGTTTTCTTTATTGATTGCAATAAATTGATTATCACCATATCAAATATTTATTTAAAGTGTCATAAATAGCAAAATAATTTGGTTTTTAATTTGTAACTTCGGAGGTAATTTTTTAGGGATGATATAGGGGTAGTTTCTGATCATGATTAAGGGTTATTTGTTATTGGTAGGGATAACTCTTTAACAAAAACATTAGAATCTTAGTCCATGACATTTTAAGTTTTTTTTCGTTTTTGTTGTTTAGGGGTGGTTTTTTTAACATATTTAGGGGTGGCCGATATTTCTACAGTAGTGGTAAACGTTGTTTATTTTTAAAGGATTAATTATTGCTTTGTTATGTATCAATATATTGACGTTTTATAACTTTTTGGAGTTTTGGCATAAGTGTTGATGTATGATGGGGTAGTTTTTTAAACTGCAAGGGTCGTAATCGTGATTTAAATTATGCGGTTGTTATTACTGTTACCTTAATTTATTAAATTATAGTGTAAACGTTTCTTATTTACATAATTTTATCATATTTTACTGTTGTTTATTGAAAACAGTGTCTCTGAGTTAAGGGTGGTTTTTCAACCCTTTCCCAAAGGTTTAGAACTTTCTAAGGGTGATTTTCGGATTCAGCAGGTCAAAATCTATAAAAACATATACTTCTTTTACAATCCCCTTCGGGGGCAAATTTTGACCATTTTTCAGCATCGTTCTTTACGTGACAAATAAAATTCTATAAATATTGACAGATTTACCTCAATCTCGGTATTAAGGCTTAATTGGGGTTGCTGATTACAAACTTAGAGGCAGATTATCAAAATACAAAATGGCGGATCAAATATGGCGGTCGGATTTTTAAAAAATTCTTGAATTTTTACGAAACTTGGTATTGAGAGGTTTTTGGGGTCGCTGATTATGAATTTAAAGTCAGATTTTTGAAATATAAATGAAGTATCTAATATGGCGGTCGGATTTATAAAAATTTCTTAAATCTTTACAGAACTTGATATCTAGGTGTTTTTAAGGTCACTGACCAGGAATTCTTTTGTGGGTCTGTATCCAGGGAAACTTCAAATTGTAACGTCGGGCAATTGAGTTATTCCGTTATATGTCAGAGTCCAAAAACTCACAGATACTAAGTTCTGTAAAAATTAAAGAAATTTTCATAAATCCGACAGCTATATTAAATCCTTCAATTTTTATTTCACAAATCTGACTTAAAATTCGTAACAAGCTGCTAAAAAACCCCTTGATACCAAGTTTTGTTAAAATTCAAG